ATTTCACTTGGATCCATTTTCGAAACTGTTTCAGGTAGCGTCAAAAGGAATGAATGCGGTAACGCCTGGTTGAAGGGGTTACGCATCCCCGTTATAGCACGGTTGTAGTACACTAAGTGCCAACGGAGGCTCTTCTTATCTTCCTCGTCATCAGGCGGGTCACTGACGGAAAATACTGGCTTTTCCGGTGTCCCAGTGAGGAATTCCACCATTGTGACTGTAGGCTCAGGTTACTCTGACTCCAATGTATATATTTCATGTTCATGATCCAATTGTTGGACATGCGTGAGCACCTTGTCTTTCCACATGGTGAACTCGCTTATGTTGCCATTGAGCGTTTCCAACCCGAGTGGTGACCTCGCTTTAGCTTAGTTGTCCCTCATCGTGTAGCTGCTGATGACGAACGTAACTGTTGTCACGCGTCGGGTACTGGAGCACGACGTACCACCTTGCCCAGCCGACACACGAACACTGTTTCATATAGCTGAGGATAATTAAAGCTATCTAGGATCTCAGCGCAAATTACCTTGTCTACGATCCGGCGCATTCGAGGTTTGTCTTCGTCAGCCAAAAGAATAAATACGTGAGCGTGAGGAAGCCCTCGTTTTTGAAACTCGACAACGTAAACCCGCACTCTCACCTCCCCTAAGGCGCCTTGGTTTAAATCGTCAAGCGTCGCTTGCAGTTTCCGCTGCCACACGGGAGCCACAATATCAGGTCGATTTTGACATGCCTGGACCTCGGAAGGTATCGCTTCATGAATCTCGTCCCACTTGGGGTTGCACGTTTCAGTCAGAAAGACGTCGGGCCGTCCATATTCCCGAACAATTGCCATCAAATCTTGATACGACCGCGGACTTCCTAGGTGCGAAGCCGGTAGTATGATACGCTTGCCAACACAAAGATTAAGTATTAGTTGCCGATAGATGTTAATGAGTGGCTGAGATGTGGACAAGTACGGGGCCCTGTAAAGGTCTCGTCAATAGCCACTCCGGACAGCTCACTTCTAAACTGACGGCCATAACAACATTTCAAGTAATCCAGCACTACACACGTTGGCACTCCACCTTGGCGTGACAATACCCTGGTCGTCAGCCCCATCAAACCACGCCTGAAGAACAACTGCGTGTCAAGACCTATCGCGTGTCGAGACGCTCTGCCTGTTGAGACCATGTTACCGTCACAGGCGAACAGACCGCGAGGCGGTTCGTCGATGGCGTGGTTCGCTATCACGGTCTCCCAGTGACGATAATCTCGGACGGAGACCCGCGGTTCACGATTGCGTTTTAAAAAATGCTGTTTCCTTTACTGGGAACTCGTCTACAGATGTCCACTGTAGACCATCCGCAGACAGGCGGCCAGACGAAGCGCATCAATCAAGTGCTCGAAGACAAGCGTGCGCGGACGCACCACGTACGTGGTCGACGCAGCTTCCAGCTGTTGAGTTTGCACTCAACAACGCGGTGCACGCGTCCACGGGGCCCACGCCGTTCTACCTGAATGGTTTTCGCCACCCTAGAGTGCCTCTCACTCTTCGAGGCGACACGGCATCCTCTATTCTAAGTGGGGGGGGGGCTCGGAAAGCTATATTCTCCCAGGTCTCATATGGGAGACCAGTTTCGCTGCGGAAGCAAGTGAGATCCGTTGTGGATACCCAAAGCTGAGAGTGATCAGCAGGGTCCGCGATGCCATGGCAGCGGTCCAGGACAGACAGAAGGAGCACTCTGACAGACATGGAAGAGGAAGCTTAAGTGTACTTAAGGTGGGTGAATTAGTGTTATTAGACACGAGGAGCCTACCGCTATACACTGTAAGCTCTGTCGGCAACAACAAGCTGAAGCATCGCTTCATTGGACCATTCGCAGTCTTGATCAGGCATGATGCGTCGTACACCATCGACCTGCCAAAGTCAATGCCGACGCACCCCGACGCTCTACGTTGGACGTCTTCAACGGTATCATGATCCGCAGGGGGTTGCTGACTCGCATACCCACCTTGGCCTAACTCCTCGAAGCGAGGACCCGCCACAGACGTCGACGAGGACGTCGGAGCAGGCATCCAAGCCTCGGGCTGAACAGCAAGGCTGCGGTCGAGACAGTACACTGGAGGGGCCCCGTACGAACGGACCCTAGAGCCATACGTCGAGTACGTCGAGTACGTCAGGTACGCACCATACGCGTACGGCTAAGAGTGCGCCGAATACGTCTCCGGACGTGGCAGCAGAGCCTCAACACGCCGGATCATGCGGAAGGCCTCGTCAAGATCGGACGAAGAGGTTCGCCAGTCTATCCGCAAATGCAGACATGAGACTTTCCGCTCCAACTGGTCCATGCGAGACGAGCGAGCACGTCCTAATTCCCGGTCTGGACAGCAACATCACCGCCAGTCCCAAGTCCAATTGAAATCTCAAGCACGATGACGCATTGATGGAGGCGGTCAACATCACGGCCCTGCGTCGGACCAGAGGCGCCGAGTATTTGTACTCGTTCGAGGGCCCCCTCCGCCCCTGCTTGACCAGAACGGAGAATTCGACTACCATGTTGAGCTGATTCGCTAGGAGCAACAGCGGCGCGGTAAGCGACAGCTCCTCGTGAAGTAGAAGGCTATGCCCACTCCGAGAACTCGTGGGAGCTGATTGAACGGCTCCTGATTGACTGCCTGAAGGCTGTGGCAATCTGGGAACAGAAGCGGCGGCAGCTTCAAAAGTAGTCCGGGGATTTTTGCCCGAACGGGGTACGGACGTTGCCGACACTCTGTACCCGCGCTCATCGTGAGGGCTAGAAGCCGCGCGCTTCAGAATGTCCATTGGCAGTATGAGCTTGCTGAGCAAGTGGGCAAACCGAACACGAAGGTCACGCTGGTCCAGCAGCAGTTGATCTTTTTAGGGTTTCCGTAACTCCGAGGATGAGTACTTGAGAGACTCAACCCACGCCCAGAACATGTCTTCACACGAGCTCCAGTTGGGACAGTTCTCGGGAAGAACCCAGGGGTAACTCCAGAGAGGGTAGAGACCACCACGGCTCTCGGGCTTCTTACGACAAGTCGTGAATTCCTAAAGAGGGATTCGGTGCGGCGCCAGAAGCACGCACCGGGTCGCCTCCAAGCTGTCGACAAACAACTGCTCCTTCTGGACCAGGGCACGTTTGTGATCGCCCTTAGAAGTGTGGCCACCAACAAGCCCACGAGGGGCGACGAGAATCGCAAGGAAGAGGTCAGCCCCAAAGCTTTCCTCGGGAGGCCAATTACCTCTTGAGTTAATGGAAACTCCCTGGCTGACGGGTGCCACCACCGGACCCCCACGCGTGCGCTGGACAGCTTGGAAGTCCTCCTGCTGCTGGTCGAGGTCGTTAGCGAACTCCCGGGGCTCAGGGATAGAGCCCTCCTCCTCCTCCTCGTTCTCTTCATCTGAGGAACCGAAGAGGTTCCGCTTGGAGTAACCAGTCTCCTTCTCCTCGCGGAGTGGAGACTTCGAAGCCGCCACGCTTCTTAGAGGGCTTGGCGCCATCAGCTTCGGCAGCCTTAGCACGCGCGAGGCCCTCGGCAAGCGAGAGATGTTTGCGAGGTTTCTCCTCTTCGTCGTCGCCAGCTTCGGGAGTGCCCTTAGCCTTGATGGCAGGTCTCTCAGAGCGCACAGACGTCCTGGGACTGTGATCACCGTGATCACTAGCGAGCGACTGCACGCTGTCGTCATTGGGCTCGCTAGGCACTGGAGTGTGCCCTCCCGTAGAGCCCACAGGAGCATCGTGAGTGCTCCCGGACTCGGCCTCGTCCTCACTGCCCGAGCTGAACTCACGTTCAGCGAGCCGCGGGTTCGGCCGGTTGTCTGGAGAGACCGCAGGTGACGGACTGTGGCGCTTGGTTGCACGTTTGCTCACAGCCGCGCCACCAGTTGAGTCGATCGCCTCCGAGGCCACCTTAGCAGCCTCCTGGAATGCAGAGCCTTTGCCGTTAGGCTTAGCGCTCTCGGCTTGCGCCTTTTCGGCAGCAGCCTTGCAGCGTGTCTTCGCAACGCACTTCGCACTTCGCAGTGCCACGGATTATGCTAAAGGTCGATGTGGAGACCGAGGAGAAGAGCGCTCAAAAGCTGCTCGAGGCTCTTACTGTGAAGTGATCCTCCGTTGCGCTCGCGCAGCCAAGTCGATGTAATTCGACTTTGAGAATGAAAGTTTGTGACGTACACTTCTTCATTCTGATTAAGTGGGGGAGGATGTAACGGAGTACGTTGCCCCAAGTGTACCCCTATACACATGAAGTGTGACACGTCATACTTTGGAATATCTGGTACATGGGGGCAGGGTCGTCCGAGGCCAACCATTGGCATATGACATTGATTTTCTATAGGTGACCTATAGTTTGTATATTTAACTTAAGCTTAGCCTACCTATAAATGTATCTAGTTTGTAACTTTTCTTAAATTGGTCACTTTGCTCCCTCAGGCAAAAAGGGGACCTGTGAGCTGCCGTTCACTGAGAGTTTGTATACTCTCGGAAGATTACTTTCTCTAGCGCAAGGTGCTGTGTGACCCCGTCACATTACAACTTACCTTAAATTGGTCGCTTCAGACAAAAGGGACCTGTGGACTTCTGTTCACTAAGAGTTTTCTACTCTCGGAAGCCAACTTTCTCTAGCGCAAGGTGCTGAGTGACCCCGCCACACCTAAGGAGCGACGTCGTGAGGAGAAGGAGAAAGAACAACAGCAGGTGCCGTGTATGGGCTTTATTGCGGATATCAGTCGTCGTTAACACACCCAGCGCAAAATGTACACAATATGTATACCTTTCCTGAAAATTGAAAAATTGCTTGATTCAAAGTTCACCCTACGTGATGAGAGTCTGACAAAAATCAAGTGGATTTATAACTTTGACGTGCACTGTACAAAATGTTCTGCAAAAATAAAATTATGCTTTAAATACAATACTACTTGTATTCTACTACTAGATCAGTACTATACTACACTAATACAAGTAGTATTTTTATTAAAGTTTCTTACAACACATCTACGTTAACCAAAACACACAAATGGACGCAACTGGGAAGACGCTGAGGACGGCAAGCAGCGCCGTCGGGGGATCAGTCGCCTCAGTTCCCAGCTCACAGTCTCTCCTAAGTGCACACAATAGTGCCAGCAACGTTCTTGCAGTGGACAACGCAGCAGTAAGCGCTGGGAACGTGACGGCGGTCTCGGGCCCCGTGACACTCTCGACGCTGCAGGAAGCCGCCAAGGCGCAGAAGGAGTGGGCCAAGTACGTCGCGTTCGACGAAGACGGCGGGATCCTGTTCAGCAACGTCAAGCCGCTGGATGGGGAGGTGGCGTACGTACTGTAGATCGTTTGATTACTATTGGATGTGGAGTCATATTATGTGAACTAAAGCGAAATCAACTGTGACGTAGCGGCTTCTTGAAGCTCTTTAACAAGCGTGAGGACACAATGGCGTCGGGTATTGTGCTGCTGGGTGAGCAATACGATGTCCATCGGTGCGACTACGAGAGTTTTTGCGATATAGTTGCAACTCGTTGAAGCTGACGGTGCAATTGTTACAACTTATGGGTTAGATTTCACCCGCCACTAGTTTACGGGCGTCGCGGGGACCCGTCGGTGGAGGAGGGAGAAGGTATCGCAGTCTGCAAAGTGCAGCAAGGCAGTCGCACCCTCTACTGCCTCATCACGTACGTGTATCCGACGCTCTCGGCGCGTGCTGTACCGCAGCTCAAGGAGTTCTGCGAAAAGCAGTGTAAGTAGACACGACACTTTCATTGACGTGATGGAGTTTATGGCTACTGACGAGCTGTTGCCTGTGCAGTGGCTAAGCTAAGCTGATAGAAAATGAATGTTCTGCCTCGAAAAAATACACTAAATTGTGATGCTCCAATTAGAAAATCTAGTAGTACTACGAAGTACTACGAAAAATTAGAACTACAGTGATATTTCTTATTTTTCTTTAAAAAACGTCAGTACCCATTGATAAATTTCAGTGCAATTTATTGGATTGTGTTAATGAAGAACGACACGAAGATGTTTGTTGCCATGTTACATCTCGCCCCAGTCGGCGTCGTCATCGTCTTCAAACTGGATGTCTGCGTTGTCCAGTTCAAAGTCTAGCAGCTCTCCAGTCGTACCAGTCGTCGTCGTAGTAGTAGTTGTAGTCGCCGTAGTAGCCATGCCAAAGCCCGAGCTCTGAGAGGACGAGAACGCGTCCTGACTGCTGAATCCAAACTCATTCGAGCCCGACGACGCAGCAAACCCGAAGCCATTGTCCCCACTGCCCACGCTGCTGGACATGGCAGTCTGCTGTCTCTGCAGCTCTGCCTCCGCTTCAGCTTGGGCCTGTGCAGCCGCTGCTTCCTGCTCTGCACGCAGTCGCTGAGCTTCCTCCATAGCTCGCGCTTGTGCCTCCGCCTCGGCCCGTTGTCGAGCCTCTTCCTCTGCCCGCAGTTGAGCCTCCGCATCTGCAGCCGCTTGAGCTTGCGCTTGCTCGTACGCCAGCTGAGCAGCGGCCGCAACCTCAGCCTCGGCTTGTGCCTGCGCTGCAGCTAGCGACTGAGCCTGAGCTTCCGCCGCCTGCGCCTGTGCCAAGGCTTGGGCTTCCGCCTCCGCTTGCGCCTGAGCTTGAGCCTGAGCCTGAGCCTGAGCCTGAGCCTGAGCCTGAGCCTGAGCCTGAGCCTGAGCCTGAGCCATGGCCTGTGCCTGAGCCATGGCCTGTGCCTGAGCTTCCGCCTCTGCACTCGCAGCGCTACTATCCTGGAACCCCCCACCCACAGCAGCTGTAAACACCGCCGCCGCGCCGCCACTCAGGATCAGCTCCAGGATGTTGTCGCTCTCCAGCACTTCCTTCTTGGCCAAGTACGAGGCCGCAGGAGCGCTGGCCTCTTCGCCGCCGCTTTGGGCCAGCAGCGTCGCCTCTGCCTGCATCGACTGCTCCAGGTTCTCGAACAAGTCGGCGTTGCGTGAGGGGTCCGCCAGGGCCTTGGCCGCACGAGAGCTCACCGCCGCCAAATCTTGACGCCACTGGTCCATCACCAGCTGCATCTTCGACGGGCAGTAGCTACGTGCAAAGAACGCAGCTTCCGGGAACCGCTTCGTCTCCTTCAGCACCTCCACGCACGCCGTCGTCTTGCCCAGTAGCAGCCAGCAGATGAAGGCGATATTGAAGCGCCGCTTGTCTCTTGCCAGCGCCGCGAGCCGCTCCAGACCCGCCTTATCTCCGCGACTCGTGTACAGGATCAGCAGCAGACTCAAGTCGTCCGCTCGAAGCGCGCAGTCCTCGGCCAGCGCCAACTGACAGTCGTTGAGCGCCAGGTCGCCCAGTTGCTTCCACTTGTGCTGCGTCTCGATGTCCATGTCCTTGGCCTTGTCTCCCTTGTCGATCTCCTGCAGCATGATGTCCCGCGCCACGTCCAGCTTGGCCAGTTGCACCGCCAGATCGAACTTTTGGTCCGGGTCCGTACTCAGCGCCAGCGCTTCTTCCTTGAAGCCCTGCGACTCGAGGAAGCGAGCCACGTAGTCCATCTGGTCCCCCGGGATCTTGGGCAGGATCGCGTTGGCGCTCTCAAAGTCGCGACGCACCACTGCAGTCTGGTACTCGAGCATCACCAGCGACACCGTGTAGCTCACCACGTTCTTCATCTTGTCCATGAGGAACACCAAGTTCTCGCGAGGCAGGTAGCCCAGCAGGTACATCTTCTGCTCCAAGTGCGCCAGCGTCATCACCTCGCCGCCCACATAGTAATTGAGTCGCCCGCCAGCGTTCGTGTACAGGAAACAGTCGCCCACCCACGTGCCCGTGCCCACTTTCTCCGAGATCTCGTGCAGCAGGTCGAAGGCGCCGTCCACGCCTTCCTCGGGCGAGTTGGTCCCCGCGGCAAAGGCCTGCGCCACCACTTCCTTGTTGTATCGCAGCACGAAGAAGCTCGACTCGCACGCGAGCACCACCAGACTGCCGCTCTCGGACCAGAAGACGTTCTTGACGACAACGTCGATCTTGCGGATCAGACGCAGCTCCTCCCAGTCGAACATGGCAATCGCATCGTTGCCCTTGACGCCGATAGCGCCCGTGCCGCCGAACAATCCTTCGGCAGACAGCACGCGGGGCTTCTCGCTCTTGACCTCCTTAAAGTTGCGGAACAACGTGAGCTTCGAGATGCTCTCGCGCACCACGTAGTCTCCTGTGCCCGTGGGCGACCAGCAGAAGTCCAGAGCCGCGCCGAACGCCTTGTTGCGTAGCTGTTGCGCCGTGTAGATGATGTACTCGCCATCTCCGCAGACCACCACGTAGCGACCGTTGCTGTTGTGCTGCACCTTCTGCGGGTACACTTCGCAGCTCCCGAGGTCTCTCGATACTAGAGGCAGCTTCTCTCCGTCCTGCAGCCCCATTTCCGCCACCACGCCCTTGATACTGGCCGTCTGGACGTCGTTATTCGTCGTCCAGATGAGTTTCCCGCTGCCTCCAGCGTCCATACTCACAACGGGGGTGTCATGTCCTAGTCGCAGCACAATTGTGCCCTCGTCATAACCGATAGCCAACGTGTTAGCGGACGGTAAAGCTGCAAGGGACCAGCTGCGTTCCATCCCGTAATTAAGCGTCGTCTCCGCGCGGTACGTTGTCGAGTGCCACATCCGCACAGCGCCGTCCTCACAGGCTGAAATGATGAGCGGGAGTCTCGGATGGTACAATACAGACGTCAAGTTGTTGCCGTGGCCGTCCAGCGTGTGCACGATGGCCTTCGTCTGATAGTCCCACACTTTGACGGTGCGGTCGTCGCTACCCGAGAGCAAGTACGGTTTGTCTCCACCAGGGTAATAGGCCACACAGTTGACGCCTCTCTCGTGTCCCTCCAGCGAGAAGTGGGCGTGGCTCGAGCCGAGACCCCAAACACGCACCGTCCGGTCCAGACAGGCACTGGCGAAGCTGTGCGCGTCTTTGGGGTTGAATTTGACCATCATGACGTAGTGGCCGTGGCCCTCGAACACCTGAGTGCACGTAAAGTTTTTGTCCCAGTCCCATAGCTTGATAGTCATGTCGTCAGCGCACGTGAGGAAGCACGGCAGCGTCGGATGCACCTCGATGTGCCGGATGTAGTCGCTGTGCGCCTCGAAGCTCGTCACCTTCTCCATTGTGTTGTAGTTGAAGACACGCACTTGCATGTCGTCGCTACTGGCGATGATCCATTGCTTGCGGGCTACGAACTTGGCGTTGCGAACAGGAAGAGGCGACACTTCGAGTGTCTTAACTAGCGACTGAGTGGCGTAGTTCCAGATCATGAGACTGCCAGAGTATAAAGCGGATAGGACCCATGGCTCAGTGGGGTGCAGATCTACGCTCTTGACGCGCTCAGAGCGCGAAGAGAGCTTGCGTTTGATGTCCAGACGGAGCGGCTGAGGTGATGGGGAATAACACGACGCAGAGGGAGAATAAAAAGATGAGAGTTAGATAATTGGAAAGAGGAGACGCGACGCTAGGACATGAGCGGACGAGGCGGTGGTTCACGCTGCTGAGCGGCGAGATATCCTTGCGCAAAGAGAGCGCATCTTACGTACCATGAAGACTTGAGTTATTCCCCCAGTTTGTGGACTGACGATCCAAACAGACCGATTGTAAGTGGCAGTACGTGATTGGTAGAATTCTAGTTGGATACATTTAGCGTGGCCCACGTTGGATGAGACTATCAATACAATACACAAAAATAACCAACGTCGCTTCAAGATCAGGCGTATTTTTGGTGCCGCTTCATGCGCATTATCCTACACGACGCCTACACGCAAAGGCAATGGTAAGAACGTCCATTCTTCTGCTACTTGCAACCTGCTTAGTAATTCAAGGGCTTGATACTCATTCAACTCGCGTCTGTGCGTGAACAGATCCGCTTCTTCCTGCTACAGAACCGCCAGGGCAAAACGCGGCTGTCCAAATGGTACGTGCCGCCGCCTGAGGACCAGGAGAAGGCGCGTCTGGAGACCGAGATCCACCGCCTCGTAGTGGCCCGTGATGCCAAGCACACGAACTTTATCGAGTTCCGCAACTACAAGCTCATCTACCGTCGCTACGCCGGGCTCTTCTTCATTCTGGGCGTGGATCTCACGGCCAATGAGCTGCTGGGTCTCGAGACAATTCACCTCTTCGTGGAGCTACTGGACCAACAGTTTGCCAACGTCTGCGAGCTCGACATCGTCTTCAACTTCAACAAGGTGCCGTCTATTCATCTCTAATCTCAATTCCCCACAACGCTAACAAACGTTATGCCGTATATTGGCCAGGTCTACTCCATGCTGGACGAATACATTCTCGGAGGAGAAGTGCAAGAAACCTCCAAGCGCGAGATGCTCGATCGCATCCGCGAGCTAGAAAAGCTCGAGTAATATGCCCCTACTACTGAAGTACTACTACTACTCAAGTAGTAATAGTACTCAGTAGCTCCTCTCCTGAACAATAATATATCACCTGGTCAATGCTTCATGACCTCGTTCCCTAACGTCGGAGATCTATTCAACGAGTCGCTGGTTCACTTAAGCCTCAGCAGGCCTCGTTCGTCTCGCTCACACTAGCTTCTACGGTGTCGGCCTGACGCACTGGCGCGTCACCATCCAGCCCCACATCCTTAAGAGACCCAGCCGCAGTAACCTCTTCAGGGTTCACTGGCTCGGCTCCGGCACTTGAGCATGTATCCATCTCTGTATCCTCCTCCTCTTTAGCTGCCTCAGCTTTCTCTTCTTCAGTATGTGAAGACACAGCGACATCGCTCTGCTTGTTGGTATCTGGCGACGTGGAAACTCCCTGAGATTCCTGCCCACTACACGCACTTGCCTCTACTACAGACAACGCATCCGCCACATTCTTCGTGGTCTCCACAGCTCCTGAAGCCTCCTCAATTACAGCGTCCTCAGACGCCGACGTAATGGGTTCACTGGCTTCAGCTTGTTCACTTTTGAGCACCTCAATCTTCCCGGCTGGCTCCTTGCCACTCACATCAGCCTTCTCCTCCGACGAACGCAGAAAATCGTTCGCGACCAGAAAATGCACAATCTGCAGCATCTTGCGCTGCTCCGCACGCACATCCTTGGCCAGCAGTTTGCGCAGTAGCGACTTCTGCTCGCCCCGCCACTGCTGCTCCGTCGCGCGCTCCTTCGACGCCTTCTGCGAGCGTTCACGCTGTCCCGACAGCACCGCAGTGTCGTGCGAGAACGGGCAGTACATCCCCTTGGAGCACGAGCCCTTAAACATCATCGCTCGACATCCAAACGCCGACCTGTCATGGCTGTACTTGCAGTGCGCGTCGTCAAAGCGACAGTGGCCACGCGAGAACCACTTGCACAGCATCGTCTTGCGCTGTTTCTTCGCTGGAGGCTCTTCCGGAGCTTTAACAGGCTTCATCACAGCATTCCGGAGCGCAACCTGCGCCTTGACTTCCTCGTCCTCCTCGATCTCCCCTTCTTCCAAGTCTTCTTCCGACGAAATAGACAGCTTCCGCTTCCCTGTCACTGGGCTCGCTACAGACGGAGGCGTAGGCTTCGGTTGACGCGACATGGCGAGCCACTTCTTGCGCCGCTCTCCTCGCCACTTGGCAATGTCTTCCGCCGAGTTTCCAACGAGCACCATGAACTTCTGGCCTTCCACGTCGATCTCCTTGAGTCCTTGTCCAGCGTATTGGCCGTGTGCGGTCTGGTGGTGCGCAGTGACCACTCGCTTCGAGGCCGAGAAGTCACAGTCCGAGCACGTCACGTGCGTGCCCACGTGCGCTTCGTACTGAGACGCGATCACGAAGCTCTTGACGCACGTCTCGCACTTCCACACTTGCTGTCCAGGCATCGGCTGAGGGTGCTGCTGCTCATATCCGTCGTCGTACGGGCGTGGGGGCTGTGGGTTGGGTGGCAGCGGGGGCACTGGGCCGCCAGGGAGCGGTGGCTGTCTACTAGGCTCGTTTTTCACTCCAAAACTCGCCGGAAGGGCGTTAAAAGATGCGCCATTTCTTCTCGGGTCTTGTGGCTTCGTTCCTGGTAGTGGCGGAGCGGGCGCCCACTGTCTGTCTGAGCCTGCTTCAGGACCATATCGCTGCTGCTGGGGCTGATGTTCCTGTTGAGAGCCAAAGCGATCGTTCTCGTTGCCAAAAAGTGGGCAGTTCTGTTTCCAATGGCCTGGCTGGCTGCAGTTGTGGCAGACGTACGAGGGCGGAGGTGGTCGGTGTGGCTTGTGCTGATTGTGACTGTGACGGTCCTGTCGACGGTCGTGGAAGTGAGCGTTCTGGTCTCTCTGGAAGTTCTGCTGGTCCATTGGAGGGCCTGCTCCATGTTGGCCGTAGCCTGGAGGTCCGCCGAATTGCTGAGGAGGAGCCTGTTGCCATTGCTGGCCTTGAGGTGCTGGCTGCTGCCACTGTTGGTCCTGTGGAGGCGGAGGCTGTTGCCACTGTTGATCTTGAGAAGGAGGCGCGTAGTTCCAGTCACCACGTGGATCTTGAGGAGGCAATGGAGGCTGGCTTGGCTCTGGATATGCCGCCTGGGGGGTCTCTGACTCGTCCTCAGCTGACACTGGAGCGTACGCCTGTTGTCTGGTTCGAGCTGCGTCCGCATAGTCTGTCGATGGCTGTGAAGGTGCCGGCATTGGAGGCATTGGAGGATTGTTCGTGTATCTTGAACTCTCGCCCTGGAACTGCTGGAACTGCTGCTGTGGAAGTGGCGGCTGTTGTTGATACTGCTGAGGCTGCTGGAACTGCTGGTTCGGATACTGCTGGAAGTTGTCCGTTGGCTGGTATGGCGGTGGAGGAGGGTTACCGCTGTTGTAACCTCTTCCGTCATCTCCGTAACCCTGCTGCTGGAACTGTGGCGGCTGCTGGTATTGCTGATACTGTGGCTGGTACTGGTCTTGTGGGGGAGGATACTGTGAAGGGTAACCTTGCTGCGGAGGAGGAGGGTACCCTTGTTGGTAACCTTGCGGTGGACCAAACTGCTGCGGGGGGTACGGTGTGTACCCCTGGTCGTCGTGGCGTTGCTGCTGCGAAAACTGCTGGAAGCCGCCGCCTCGGCCTCCACGACCGCCTCCGCGTCCCCGTCCTCTGCCTCCTCCTCTTCCTCGTCCACTGCCGCGTCCACGTCCGAAACCTCGTCCGCCACGACCTCCGCGGAAATTACCTCCGCGCTCCATCCTTTTTCTCGTTACGACTAGGGAATTTCTAAATGACTGGCACACTGGGGTCTAATAGTGAAATCGCACTTAAAAGAAGATATGACAGATGTTGAAGTTGGTGGTGGAGAAGAACGAGAATCCTGGCTATTATTTATATAATAAAACCTGTTGTCACTTTTCCGCCACAAAGTCTTCGTGTGGATTATTGTCACTCACCCCCAGCTCTCTTGTAACGAGAGCTTGCAGTCAGCCAGAAATGTTGTGCGTCTCCAAAAATGCGGTAGAGTGAGGAAACTCTTCTTTTTTTCGCGTGAGCGTTGTAAATTACCCTGCGTGTATATTGTTTATCGTGCTGGTCCAGGTAAAATAAGTGTAAAAGAAGAATGGCGTGTTAATGCTGCGGTGATACATAAATGTACGATGAGGAGACAGGCAAGAAACCTTCAGTCCGCCGTAGCTTTTAACAACCTTCGCTCAACTTGTTGAATCGACAACAACTGCTTGAGCGTAGCACAACTGAATGTGATACTAGCCTATGAATTTGCCTAGCTTGATTATCCGGCTGGGGAGAGCACAGGGGGCCCGATTAATAATTTTATTGACAATATGTTTTTGCTCTACTCAATAACTTATTTATTGACTTTTCTTCAGCAAGATATGTATTTACGGATTTGGCTTACCTGCACACTTTACTTTTTCCACACCGGTTTGTGGTTGGTTCTGAGCCTCACGGCTTCTTCGCAGGCCATATTCTACTTCATTCTGCAATTTTCATCAAGAACAACAAAGCCTACTTGCCCATATCCGACTCTCTTGTTGTAACGTACGTAGCCCTAAGTGTACCCTGGTTACATGAAGTGTGACACTTCACACTTCAGCGTCATACTCCGGGATATTTGGTACAGGGTACCAAGGTCGTTCAAAGCCAACCATTGGTCAAACGACATTGCATTTCTATAGGTAACTTATAGTTTGTATTAAACCCAAACTTAACCTACCTATAAATACACTCAGTTTACAATCTACCTTATTTAGGTCACTTCGCTCTCTTTAACTAAAGAGGGGACCTGTGAACTACCGTTCACTGAGAGTTTGTATACTCTCGGAAGATAATTTCCTCTAGCGCAAGGTGCTGTGTGACCCCGTCACACTTGGTAGCACTTGTTGGTTAATCCACGCCACCGCGGGTAGACTATCTGAACCTCTCCGAAGCTCGTTGCCATGGATAGGAACGACTTCTCCCATATGAGCGACTCTCAGTTCGAGTCGGTTCGGAAGATGGTAGGCATCTTCGGGATGGAGGCCCTGCAGAGCCTGGTGGTGTCAACACCGGCTGAGCAGCTCGAGCGCGTCAATGCATTTGACGCGTACGAGCAGGGACTCATCGCGCATGTGCGGGAGAACCTGCAGGCTCCGGCGGCGGAAGCAAATCCGCCTCTCCCGAAGCCAATACGGCTGAAGGTTAAGCCGTATGAAGGGAAGGAAGGCGAGAACCTTCACTTCTGGGTCCGAGAAGTAGAGCTCGCGATGGACGCGGCTCTGATCTCGACCGAGCAACTGCGTGTTGCTTTTGCGCTCTCCAACCTTAGCGGTCGTGCTAAGAGTTGGGTGTACACACGGGAAGCAACATCCCATGGATGTTTCACATCCTGGGCTCAGCTGTGCGAACAGCTCCGAGCCGCGTTCCTCCCGGCGAACTACGAGTACCGCCAGCGTTCGCGCTTCCTCTCGTGTAAACAAGGAAGGCGCGAACTGCACGAGTATGTGCAAGAGATACGGGAGCTCACGGCGTCCCTAGTGGGGCACCCACTCAGCGAACACATCAAGATGACTGTGTTCATGGACGGCCTTCGAGTGGGCCCCGCACGCACTCAGCTGTTCCGGATGCAGTCAAGCACTCTTGAAGAGGCGATTCAAGTGGCTCTTCAAGAAGAGTACAGCCATCGCCAGGCGCGTACGCCGGCCTCAGCATGGCCTGGGAGTTCTTTGTCGGCTCCCGGCCAAACAAGCCCCAACGGACCAGTTCCCATGGAACTCGGGCCCGCCGAACAGCGTGACATCCGCTGCTTCGGCTGCGGAAAGATGGGCCACTTCAAGCGCGACTGTCCTGCGGAAAGACTCCGCAGACGGTCCTTTCCCAAGCCCGTCCTCAAGGGTCGCTGGCAGAAGCCAGGATCCCGGGGACAGGGGAACGCTGGGAACCAGTAGGGGCGATGCGCCCTACTGGGGAAGAACTAAGTCTTCGTGATGGGTGCGCGGGTGGCGCGTACCACGGGGACTTGGCCCCTGAGAGTCTTCGCACTCTCGAATCGGCGAAGAGCAGCGGCGGGCTGCTCGTAGTACATGGATGTGTACGGGGATACGATCATCCCTTTAGAATCTTGATCGATTCTGGGGCGTCGAAGAATTTCGCACGCCGCCAGACGGCTGCTCGCAACAGCAACAAGTTGTCCGATGCTTTTAGAGAAAGCAAGGGCAACGGGACCGTCTCAGTGCGACTGGCCGACGGGAAGGTCGTCACTGTCCTTAACGTCCAAGTGGATCTGGCCGTCAAGTTTGAAGACTTTGACAGCCTCGAACAGCTCACTGTTCTCGATATGGATCCATATGATATGATCCTGGGCATGCCCTGGCTGGAGAAGCACGAGCCCTGGATCGACTGGCGAGGCAAGGCAATCGGTGCCAGCCGCCCTGCGCAGTCCGACAGAGCATTAGTGAGTCATGTTCCCACCTCTGTCAGGACCCGGGGCGCCCGCAAGGGCTGCCAGGGTACCAAAGCATTCGGCAGATGCTTGGGAGTCGTCGACGTATATGACGACTCCGAGGATGCTTTGATGGTGGCAGGGCCCATAAGAGGCGCTGGCCAAGTGGGTAACTTAGGTCCACAGGCGGGTAACTTAGTTCCGCAGACAGCTGCAGCTGTCACGAACACTGAGAACAGCGTGTTCAGAGTGGGTAACAGATCTCCACTCACGGTCGCCCAGACCTTAACTGAAGAGGAAGACGTCGGATACGCTTCCTGTGTGGGTAACACAGTGCCACACGCGGTCGCCCAGACCTTAACTGAAGAGGAAGGCGTCGAACACGCTTCCTGTGTGGGTACCACAGTACCACACGAGGCCACGAGTGCCTCGGATGTCGTAGCGCCGACATCCCTAGACGTGGGCAGCAAAGCCCGACGTCACGGTCGCCGTCATCAATGACGCCGCCGCCGCCTCAAGTCGGATCCGAACTTCGTTCCGATCGACGTCGCTTCAAGCGACTCGGAGTCCAGGGCCCGGGCTCCTCCGACAAGGCCGATGGAAGAGTGTTATCACATCTTCGATGGCGAGACCAGTTTACCCGTCAAGGCATCTGGTGTCCACTTGGAACCGTTGCCAAAGGTTGCAGAGATACTGCACCTCGAGGAAATGACGGCTGAGTCTTTCCTGACCAACCTCAAGGCTGGAGAGATTGCTGAGATGGTACTCATGAGACCTGAGATGTAATGGGCCCCTCCATTACATAAGTAGGTAGATTTCTTTATAAAAGTAGGTGCATCAGCACACGACTAGCGTGTGCTGAAATGCTGTCATGCCATTGGCTGATATATGGGGAGCCAGACCCATTATTAGCCAATTGGACTATGACGTGTATTTGAGTGGCCAGGGCTGTGACCTTGGTCCTAAAATAAAGTCAGAGTTGATTTTTCCTTAAACCTAAGACTCAGTCGTCCTATTGCGAGCTTCCTCAACACTATAGTGTAAGCAAGTAACGGAGTAAATACCTGGCCCGTTACACCTGGTAGCACTTTGTAGTCCTTCCAACGACCAAGTTCGACATGAGCCAAGACCTCGACCACGCTGCCTTTCTCCATCTCACTCGGATCCAGTGGAAAGCTCTCCACCGCCTCGCGGCGGTGTCCGGAGAAGCCGTCGTCACGTCGCTGCTGCGCTCAGCGACGCCCGACGAGCAGCGCGTTGCGGCACAAGAATTCATGGAACGCGAGCTCGCCGATGCGAATCGGCGAGTGTCAACTCCCTCGCGTATCTCCACGAATGACGTCGTGAAGCTAGAGACGTCCACCTACTCCGGTGCCGGAGAAGATCGACTTCCGCTGAATCGCTGGTTTCGAGAGATCGACATCGCCATCGCCTCGAAGTTGATCGAGGCGCCTTCCGCGAAGGTCCATTTCCTCCTCTCGCGGTTGTCTGGGAAAGCCAAGGAATGGGCTCTCGGCAAGTTGGTTGTCGATCCCAACGTCTTCCCCACTCTGGATACCCTCCAGAGTGACCTTCGGCTCGCGTTCGAGCCGCCGCAAGATGAATCCCGAATTCGGGCAGACTTCTTCGCCCTTCGGCAAGGCACGATGACTATGCGCGACTACGTCCAGAAGCCACGACACCTCGCGTCGTGCATCGTGTCTAAGCCGATCGATATGGCCTCTCAGGTTCATGTATTCGTGTTCGGTATGCGCGAAGGCATGCCGCGCTACTGCCTTACAAGATCGGACCCCTCCACGCTCGAAGAGGCATTCGCCTTCGCCCTACGCGAGGTCTACGTGATCGCGGGCGTCATACGCGCACGCGCTAGCTGCTTCAGCTCGGGATTCTGCACCCGAGCCCATGGACATCGACGCTATCGATGCGACGAGCAATCGTCAGCGTCATGTAGCGCGTCGGAGCGGTGCTCGGAACAATCGCTCTCTCACCTGCTTCCGCTGTCGGAAGGTCGGTCATCGCGCGGCGGAGTGCCGCGCGCCAGCTCCAGTGCTTGCGCATGTCGAATGCCGAGCCCGTGAGTTCTGACCAGCCAAAAACGTTCAGGATCAGTAATGCGGGGCGCCCTTATGGGCAGGAATGGAGGTCCGTGTCCCCCGGTGGCAACCCAACCTCCTAGCCCTCCTGTGCTGCATGCACACTTTCATGCCACCACCACGCCGAGCGATTCAAGATTGATCATTGTCAGTCTTCATGTCGCCGGTGCCCGGCGACCACTGCGAGCGCTCCTTGATTCAGGAGCGACCAACAACTTCTTCC